GCCAGGAGCCCCTAGTAGCGTCCTTGCTCCTAGTAGCGATGCCAGAAGCCCCTAGTAGCGTCTCTCCGAGTAGCGATGTCAGGAGCCCCTAGTAGCGTGCTCTTGCTCCTAGTAGTAAGGCCAGGAGCCCCTAGTAGCGTCCTCTTGCTCCTAGTATAGCGATGCCAGGAGCCCCTACAATGAGGGCTGCTTGTGGTTATGGAAGATGTGGCAGTTATTAACTTACTTTTAACCTGCTTATAACCAGGTTTTAATTTCTGCATGTTCGTACTAAGCTGCCTATGTTCCCGTGGTCTGAGTAAGTTTTCGTAAACTATCTTGCGCGTGATAGGGCTCTTGTGCTAAATACCCAACTGCGAGTAAGTTTTTGGTGGGTCCGTTAAAAGTAAAAACCGGGGAACTTAGCGGAACTTATCGGAACTTAGTAGAACTTACACACACACACACCAATTAATTGACAAAAAGGTAGTCCTTTGGTGGAGATTGCCGCTGTTCGCGGCCTTGTGGGCCGCGACGTGTATATAGTTTTTAGGTTTCTCATAGAGTGTTCACGCAGGCGCCATGATCAGAAAGTTTTGCGCAGCGCGAACACTCTCATGCTTCAGGGTTCAATAGAACAGGCCCTTTTGTTTGTTGCGTCCGAAGGTTCAAAGCTCGTTGTTCTGCATGTTCCAGACCATTTTAGCTCGAAGGGCGCTGAAAGCTTGGTCGATCCTTCGGATGCCGGGCCCGAAGACATTGTCTTGGTTGGAGAAGCACAGGGCTTGGCGAAAAAAACAAGAAGACGCAGAAGCTCGAGGACGACCAGTCTATTTGGGCAGACCCTCCTGATGTTGTTCATTTGCCTGAGTGGCCGATCTTCGTTCGACCTGGCGAGAAGAATGCTTTGGCTGAGAAGGCGTTGAAGCTTGGCCACCCACCTGTGATAGTGATCCCATCAGGAGATCGGAATTCGCCAGGGTGATCGAAGGCCCACAAGTGTATTCTTCAGGCAGCACCTTCCACTTGCGGTTGCAAAAAAGTTTCAGTCTCGTCACTCCAGTTTTGTTGTTGCACGTGTGAAGTATTTGCAGCCGAAACATGAACAACCGTGCATGATGCCATTTCATTGCCCACAAGGTTATATACTAGGAGCGATCGGACGCTAGGGGCTCCTGGCCTTATACTATATATACTAGGAGCGATCGGACGCTATAGCCTTATATATTCTACTATAGGAGCGATCGGACGCTACTAGGGGCTCCTGGCCTTGCGTGCAAATAGCATGCAAATGACTTGTTTCGCAGCTGTTGTACGTGGCCCAGCTTTTTGTAGCGGTGGAAATGGCAATGTCATGGACACAGGACCACCTTGCAGAGTACACGGTGGTGGACATTGCGCGGCCAGAGACCTTTGATTTGGAATGTGTTAACCCATACTTCTTTTCAGCTTTAGAATGGCAGGAAGCATTCGCAGCTGAGCAGCCAATCCAGAGTGCACGCGAATGGCTGGTCCGGAAGGCCGCTGGTGCAGAAGACGACGCAGAGATTGTGGCTTACGAGAGTGTTTACTACATTGTGAAGGGCAACAGGTTCTTGAATCCCGAGAAGCGCGCCCTGCTACACGTGTGGAATGTTTATGATCAATGTGAGCAGGTGTTGGTTTTCCAGCCCCACCCTCAAGTTGCCAAATGGCTGGGCTCCGGGGGCCGCCAGAATCTTGCGTAGTTTCGATCTAAGTTGCCAAATGGCTGGGCTCCGGGGGCCTATATATAGAATCTTGGGCGCCATGGCGGAGGGATTGGAAACCCAAATAAAGGCATTGATTGCCTTTCTCCAGGTTTCAGCGGCAGAGCCTCACTTGGACCAGGAAGTGCCTTGAAAGGAGCTATACCATTGATTTCGGCCGATGACATGAAAGAGATTTGGGACGCCTTGCATTCAAAGGTGCAAGAAGCACCCTTGGACCCGAGAGCTAAGCGACCTCTTCAAGAATGGTTGAATTGGGCCTTGTTCTTGACGGAGGAGTTGTGGCGTGACATCCTGACGCTGCCAAACACTTCGGTGGTTTTGAAAAAAGTGGTCCAACACTTGCACAAGCTGGGTCTGAGGTGCCCGTCTGAAACTGTCATGGGGACCCTTACAGCAATGTTGGTGCTGAGGACCGAACAGGGCAGAGGCCAAGTACAGACGGCAAGTCAATGGTTCGACTTGCACAAAACAGTGAAGAGCCAGGTCAAAGCAGTGTTGGAATTGTCAAAGGCGTCGGACGACACTGTGATCGGCCCATACCTCAGGTCTCTTCCAGATGCTTTTGAACGCCTTGACCCAGCACTCCAGACACATGTTTTTGGTGATGAAAGGCCTGCAGAGCCCAAGACTCTTGTTCTGTGCATAGTAATTACATGATCTTTTCAGTTTTTTGACGTAGTAATTACACATCTTTTCAATTTTTTGAACGCAAGAATGAAAGGAAAGATTTGGAAGACAAATCATACGCTGCTAACCAGGAAAGGGTAAACAATAGCGTCTCTTTCTCTGAACGTGCGTTTGATGATGTTCATCTCTGCGCGCAGCCAACTTTGAGGCTCAAAGTGGAGGAGCTCATCTACCTGGCGAGGTCTATGCCTTTAAGGAAATCGAACGAGAACGTCGCAGAGCCGCCAAAGATGGAACATGGAATAGCTTCTTTGCTGCATTCACACCTGAGCTGCGTGGCACAAGCTTTGCTGCAGCGGCCCCATGTGGAGAACCTCTTTCAGGGATCACCCCTGGCATTGACTATGCCCATGGCAAGCCCAGCGCAGCTTGCCTTGCCCGGCCCAGAAGTTGCCTTGCCCGCTGCTGTGGCTGAAACACAGGCTGGCCTGAAAGTGGGCATTGATGGGAGTCAGGCGGCAGCAGAAAGTGTGGCTACCAAGCCTGGACCATCAGGAGAAAGCTTGGCTACCAAGCCTGGACCATCAGGAGGAGGCTTGGCTACCAAACCTGAACCATCAGGAGAAAGCATGGCTACTAAGCCTGAACCATCAGGAGGAAGCTTTGCGACCAAGCCTCAACCATCACAAGAAAGTTCGGCCACGAAGTCTCATCCACAGCCAGACACACAGGCCATGGAGAGGCAAGTTGCAAAGAAAAGTGTGAAAGAGGCCCTACAAGCCCTGGACAATGCTATGGATGAGCGGGAGGGTGCCAAAAAAGTGGGACAGTGTGGATTGCCCATGAAGAGGCCAGCAGCGCATGATGCACCAGCGTCAAGGAGCAACAAGGCCAAGGCCTCTCAGAGCAAAAAGGCCAAGGCCAAAGCTGCCACTAAGGGTGCGGGCACCAAGGGAAACAAAGCCAAACCAGTGGGCAAAAACAGCTTCAAGGAAGCTTGGCCGTCCAAGAAAAAGATGTTATCCTTGCGGCCAGAAGGGTGCTCCAAATGCCGCTGGGTTGCAGGTTGCACCAAGTCATGCTGGGTTCAGCGTCGCTTTGGACCGCCTCCAGCAGAGTAGGCTGCAAACGCTTGCTGCGGCTTTGAAGGCCGCGTGTGGGTCCTTTTTTTTGCGCTGAGCGGCTTTGCGGGCCGCTTCTTGTTTGCGGCTCAGCGGGCCGCTTTGGTTCAGACGCCGGATTTCCGTGGGGTTGGAAAATCGCCTTTACTGTTCTTGGGGGTTGGGGCATCAGGTAGCAGTTTGCTGCGAGGTTCCTTTTTTGCGCCTGTCTTCGAAATGTTTGATCGATCTATGGTGCATTGCGTGAAAGGGTGATGTTTGCTAATTTCCCAATGGGTGCATCCGTGTTGGGACCATGAAGTGGGTTCATTTTGCTTGAGTCGGCTCAAGAAGCAGTGGTTCAAAGGATCGTACTGTAGAGCAGACTATACTAAATAACATTACTCGACTTACTTTTTATAAGCAGCTTGTTCGTTCGAGATGCCTTCATCATCTTCCCTTGGCGCGCATGGTGGCAAGACTTCCAAGAAGAGGAAACGCAAGAGAGAGTCATCGAACAGGCGGCGACGGCACAGACCGCAGCGGATGTCTCCCTCACCACCTACAGACAATGAAACATGCTTCGCCTGGCGCCGGAAAGATGTGGAGCAGGAACTGAAAAACACTTCGGGCAATGAGCTGGACGAGAGGACGATTGGGTTGGATGCAAACTGCACCAGGCAGGGTGGCGATGTCAATGCACCGATGGTGAAGGTTGAATGTGAGATTCCATTGCATCTGGAGGCTCCACCGTCTCCACCATTACCACAATTCAAAACTAGTATCTGCGTGCCCAGATATCAGAACAAGGACGAGGTTGGCCCAGTTGACCCTATTGTTGGTCACAACAAGATAAAGCAAGAAGACGATGACAAGCAAGAAGACGGTGACGCGAGTGGGACACAGTCTTCTGGAGGCGGCGATGGTACACATGTAGAGATTGCCGAAAAAGGTGAGCCAGCGTGTGACAATGCCGAGAAGGTGGAGAAGGACAAGAATAGTGAGCCACCATCTCCTGATAGACCGCCTGGCGTTTGGCTTGCTGCAAAGCCCGAAGCATCTGTGAGCACGGCCACGAATGCTGGGGATCATGCAAAACAGTCCAGCGGTTCTGAGGACCGCATTGGGTACCGTGCTCGCACTTGTAAAGATGGAGTCGGGCGTTGGTTTTTAGAATACCCGGGCCCACCCATAAGCAAAAGGCAATGGGAGCGAGAAGTCTTAAGGAAGAATAGAAGCCGGAGAGGCAAACAAGCTCCTTGAGTCTGTTGCGCTGCGAGAAGAAACCTCATGAGGCTTGCGTGTGCTGCCTTGTGTTCGAGCCTTCGCGCACACTGCTTTTCGACCGGGTTTGGTTTGTGTTTGGAGGAGTTATGTTCAGGACAAACCTTGAGGTGATCTTGGGCAGTTGTTTGTCACCAGACGCCCCTCAAAGTAGGATTTTGTGTTCCTAGAAATGCGTTCCTGACTCTTTAGATTTGTTTTGGCAAATTAATAGACTCAGGAAAATGTGAAACATGTAAATGACACCGATAGCGCGGGGGCTTGCATTAGTTGCAACACCGCAAAATTACAATGACAATGACCGAGAGAGTGCGGGTGGTTTTGCATTAGTTGCAACACCGCAAAAGTTTCCTGACCGTGAAACGAAACTTCAAAGATTGAGAGAGTGTGGATGGTTTTGCATCCGTTGCAACACCGCATACATGATCTTTCATAGGTGTACATACGCTATATAATATATGTATATATGCGTCCAATATACGTCAATATACGTACAATATACATCAATATACGTCAATATACGTCCAATATACGTCAATATACGCCAATATACGTCCAATATACGTCAATTTACGTCAATATACGTCCAATATACGTCAATATACGTCAATATACGTCCAATATACGTCAATATACGTACAATATACGTCAATATACGTCAATATACATCCAATATACGTCAATATACGTACAATATACGTCAATATACGTCAATATACGTCCAATATACGTCAATATACGTCCAATATACGTCCAATATACGTAAATATACGTTAATATACGTAAATATAGATAGAATTGTTTTTTTGATCTTGTTCAGACATTTTTCATATTTTTTTGAAAAAGTAAAAAAATACAAAAAAATGAGCACTGTAGAGGGTTTTTAAAGCAAAAACACACCGTGAGGGAGAGAGCTTGATCTTAAACCTGTGCTGTGTTTTTGGTCAATCGCACGCGCCTCAAGATTTTGGCTGAGACACCCGTTTGTGTAACCATGCTGCGCCACGGCCTCATTGCGATTCATGAGTGGCATACTTTGAGTGAGAACCAGGTCCATGCCATGGTGGAGTGGCAGGGAGCCTTGCCAGAAAAGCAAGCAATCCGGTACCGCCTTGGTGGATCTGTGTTGCCTGTCTTTGATTTCAGATTTTGGGGCTGTGATCCAGAGCGGGGTGTTTGTTTTCTGTTCAAAGTTCACCTGACAAGTTTTTTGTTGGAGGCTTCATCTGTCCTTGAACTATTTCATTGGCTCCTTCGTGCCTTTCTACCTGCAAGAAGGACCAGGGACCTACCACAACAAGTTCTCGGTTTTTGAGAGCAAGAATCAAGGCATTGCAGCGCTGGTCGAGCATGCAGGGAACCTGCCAAATGGGTCACGAGTGCTCACTTTGATCCAGGTCAAAGAGAAAGTCATCATTCAGGCCATGAGCGGACAGCACGTGGGTGATGTGAAATACAAACGTGATGAACAGGTGATGGATTTGCTGTCGAGATGCTTGTTCCAGCACGACCAACATTGCCCTTTTGCATACCAGCTGCGGTTTGTGGTCAAGGACGTGTCCATCACAGAAGCCATGTGGAAGAGTCCAGCATTCCAGCTTTTCTCCGGCAACCCCAATGATGCTGTGCCGAAGGCCAGTGCTCAGCCCGCGCGAAAGAAGGTTCAAAAGCCTGCACCAAAGCGTGGCGCTGTCAAGAAGAAACCATCAAGTAGAAAGTGAGCCGCCCTGTTGCGGCTTTGTAGGCCGCCCTCGTCCTCACCAGGCGGCTTTGTGGGCCGCGCAGGGAAGCGCAAGTTCTTTTGCTTTTGTTGAAAGCGTGAGCTGACTTGAGGCTTGCGATGTATGGGGGAAAACGAGAGAAACGTTCGCGCGTAAACAAAACAAACGCCGCCCTGTGCATCAAAAGAACCCCTTCAGAAACACACTATACCATGTGCGTGAATAGACACTTCATGTTAGATGATTCTCTGGGCAGCCATTTTTCAGATAGAACACCCAGTACTTGACTTCTTTGCTTGTTCGGACAATGGAAACGCCAACGCTGCCCGATAGCCAGGTGCCGATGGATGCAGTCGATGGAACCCCGCGACTGGAGACGACCGCTTTGTCGGAGCAACCTGACAACCAGCTTGGACAATTTTCTGATGGGCCTTCAGCTGACGACCTACCAGCTGACGAGCCAACAGCCGAAGAGCCACCAGCTGGTCAGGCAGGAGGGAAACGCTCAGAGTCAGAGGAGCCGCAGGAACAGGTCGTACCCGCGAGCCAAGACCAGAAGGTCCAATGCCAAAAGTGCCTCTCTCAGGTTTACGTCTATGATGCCCAGGCCAGGGGCAAGGTTTGGTGGTGTAAACCATGCAACGCGATCAACTCCATGCTGCGCAGAAATCTTTCTTGGCCGCCGGCCGAGTTCAGTGCATTAGATTCGGACGCTCAGGCTGCATTTTGGCAGAGATGTCAAGCTGCGAAAGATGCAGCTGGAGAAGGGAGACTTCGGTATGACCGCCTGCGAGACGTCCTGATCACGAGCCTGACCACCCAGGTCACGAACGAGCTCACCAAGAAGAGCTGCGGCGAGTTTCTTCCTTTGAGTGTTTACAAGCAGAGACTAGGCTGCAAAGCTTTGTTTGCTTTCCCTTTTCTCCCCTAGCTGGAAGTAAAGTTAATCCATATATATATATATACAATGGTGGCCTGGCCCCATGGTTTGAATGTATGAGCTCACGTTTATTTGCACGTGTCCAACAAACTTATAAGACATTTTGCCTGGTGTTCAGCACATACATGTTTCAGGCGCGGTTACAATGTGGAGAGCCTTCAGCAGAATGCGCCGAGCATCTTTGACCCCATCCTACAGGAAGATGTCTATTGCTTGCCAGTCACTTCGCTCCAAGAGAAGGAGATCCGAGCGCAGATTGAGACTTCTGTCGCCCAGGCAGAAAGGGCAGTGCGCAAGCGAGCTGCTGCCGTAAGCCTGACAACCAGGAGGAGGAGGAGAAGTTGACGGCAAAGCAGCTTGAGGCGCTACGAAAGAAGCAGGAGCGGGAAGCCAAGAGCAAGGCAGCCAAAGAGCAGCGAAAGCAGGAGCAAGCGGAACAGCGTGACAGGCTGAAGAACAACAAGACCATCGTCAACCTCTCAGGTAAGGCTGTGCAGATCCTGCAGCCTTTGAAGGATGAGCTGGGTCAGCATGTCTCAGACCCTGACACGAACCCGTTGCTGAAGGAGAACTTGACATCATGCCATGTGTTGCTTACCGCGTGGCACAAAGCTGCAGCAAGCGCTTTGCAGAAACATGCAAGGAATGCAGCAGCAGCGCTGGATCCACTGCCCTTCAACGGTGAGAAGGACATGATGGTTGAAGTCAAGGCCGCAAAGCGGTACTTGCAGGAGGCCAAAGCAAACGCTGCTGGGTCAAAGAAGAGGAGGATCAAGCAGTGAGGATGAAATGCGGCTTGGGGGGCCGCCTGCGCGGCTCCGAGGGCCGCTTTTGCCAGACAGCTCAAAGCTTTGCCGCGGCCTTGGGGGCCGCTTGATGCCTCATTGAGCCGCCGGCTTTGTGGCGCTTGATGGTTGCGGCTCTGCGGGCCGCCCCGCTTCAGAATTTTCATTCTGGCTGATCCCTTTTTGATTTTCGACCGCGCCTTGAGCCTGCGGCGTGTGTCTTGAGAAAAGGTTCGGCGTTCGTTGAGAGCAGGTCTATGCCTTTAGGTTTAACCCGTGTGCTCACACCGTTTACTCCACATTGTGCGTTTCGGCCCAGGGGTTCTGACATATCCCCGCATATCAAATACTATATTTCATTGGTCAAGTTCAGATTACAAGTTTTGTTTTCTGCATGACTGGATGCTGAAGTTCGCGTATGAGTTGAGTAGAATCCTTTGAGGAAACAGTAATCTCATTTCATGAATGGCGCAATGTTTGAAGGTGCGTGGGTGCAGTGAGAAAGCTTTGCGTGGCATCTTGAAAATCGCCAGCAAAGATGCGGTTCCAAAGTCCTACACAGGATACAAACGCAAAGTCCGTGATGAGCTGCCAAGCGATTGCGTCCTGAAGGTGCCAGTGGGCCCAGATGAGACTGGGAAGATGGTGCACATTGCTGTGACACACCTGCCAAAATATTTCCAGTACATGGCAGTTCGCAGTGTGCCATTTGTTCGGAGGCTTCTGTCAGTTGTTGATAGATCTATGGGGTCTTTGCTCCAACCATTGTTGTATTGGGATGAGGTGGTTTCTGGAAACCCTTTGGCGCCGCACAGTGCCAAAAAGGTTGCCGTTGGATACGTGACCCTGTCCGAACTACAGCAGCGACAGAAGGAAGAAGTTTGGTTCCCTCTGTTCATTGCCCAGCATACGAGCTTAGAATCTGTGGCAGGTGGGTTTTCGAAGACGATGCGTGAAGTGGTTCTGTTGTTGCAATCTTTCCACATGGAACATGGTATTGCGCTTGAGCTGGATGGTTACCATAGATGGCTGCGGGTGAACCTGATGCAGGGTTATTTCATTGCAGACTTTGATGCCATCCGGGCAACTTTTGCTTGGCGAGGAAGTGCCTCGATCAAAGCGTGCTTTGCTTGCAAAAATGTGTGCAAAAAGGGCTCCAACTTACGTGACGAGGAAGGGTATATCACAGAAATCTCAGAGACCGAATGGGCTAAGCTTGATCTTTGGTCGGACCAAGAAGTTTTTGATCTTTGGGACTTGATGGCCAGAGAGACGGGCAACATGAACAAAAAACAACAAGAACGCCTTGAAAAGATCTCTGGGTACAATTTTCACGCAGGTGCTGTCCTGGCAAATCCCATAGCCAAGCAGATTTTGAAACCTACACAGGTGCTTTTCGACCCAATGCACATATATTGGGCTTCTGGCGTGGCAGCGTGGGAGGTTGTCCAGTTCATGGCTGTCCTTTCCACGAAGTCAGATTTCAAGTGCGAGGATTTGCAGGCGGCGATTCAGAACACTCCTTGGTGCACCAGCGGGCAAAAAAGCAAAGCGCGGCGGAAAAAATTGGCAGAGAGTCAGCGGTTTACTGGTGATGGTTACCGCGGCTCGGCAAGTGACCTGAGGTTGCTCCTCCTTTGATGTTGTATCATATCATTGATGCTGTACCGGACACCGTGGCTGTGACACCAGAACTGCAATCTTTCTATGCTTTGAACAAGCTGCTGGCGACTTTGAAGAGCCTACAAAGAGGTATCACAAAGGACAAGTGTGAGTTGCTGCTGCGACAAACTGAGCAATACTTGAAGCTTTACAGAGATGCCTACAATGATTTTAAGCCGAAACACCATTATCAGTTGCACCTCAGCCAGATGATCTGGCGTAGTCAGCTCTTGGTTGATTGCTTTCCGCAAGAGGCTAAACACAGGACATACAAATACCAGATTCAAAACCGCGTGGATGGTTTATTGCAGGATGCTTTCCTCTTTGACGCAGGGGTTTTGTCACGGCTGTTGAATTATCATTGCACCTTGCTGGAGAAACCTTTCTTGCCTGGAGATTTGACGCCGCCAATTTCTGAAAGCCACCAACATGTCGATGGGACCTTGGAGCTGGTGGAGGAAGGCAAAGCTTTGGATCTGCAGAACGGAAGGGTCTATAAGCAAGATTTTGTTTTGAGCTCTGTCGCCAATGGCCTTGTGGCGAGGTGCTTGCGTGTGCGGGGACACACCATGGTTGCCCACGTGGACTTTATGAATTTTTTCGGTTTGGTTTTCAGCCGTTTTTAAAGCTCGGCCCACAAAGCCGCAGCGGCCCACAAAGCCGCGGCGGCCTTCGAAGCCGCCCTCCAAAAAATATTCACCCATATCCTCACGTGTATCGTCCAGTTGAAGATTTCCCAGAAAAGAGTTCGGTGTATGCTGTTGTTTAGCTCTTCTTTTCTGATTGTCACCTTTTCAACTTTTGGCCGTGTGTTTGTGTTGAACAAGTGACTTCCACCATGGTTTTTCCTCGCATTGCTGAGGTTGACCAGTGGGCTTCCTGCGATGTGACAGTGTGGCGCGATGAAGGTTTTCATAAGCTCGTTGCCGCGGACGAATTTGAGAAAGACTGGCAAAAGCCCAGTCACTGGCACATCCGCGCGGACGGCGGCATTCTCTGCCTATGGTGAAGAAAACACACCACCGGTGAAGTTACCTGAACTTAGAAGAACATACGGCAACTTAGAAATAGATATGGGGTGTGACTTTTTCAATCCGTACCGACAAATCCGCTAACTTCCGGTAAGTTGACTGTAAGTCACCTAAGAAGTTATATGTGCGCTAAGTAGAAGCGGCCCTCATTGTAGTAGCGTCCTCTTGGTAGAGTCCCCTTGCTCCTAGTAGCGATGCCAGGAGCCCCTAGTAGCGTCCTTGCTCCTAGTAGCGATGCCAGGAGCCCCTAGTAGCGTCCTTGCTCCTAGTAGTAAGGCCAGGAGTCCTCTTGCTCCTAGCGATGCCAGGAGCCCCTAGTAGCGTCCTCTTGCTCCTAGTAGCAAGGCCAGGAGCCCCTAGTGGCGTCTTGCTCCTAGTAGCCAGGCGCCAGGCCAGCCCCTCGTAGCGTCCTTGCTCCTAGTAGCGATGCCAGAAGCCCCTAGTAGTGTCTCTCTGAGTAGCGATGTCAGGAGCGCCTAGTAGCGTGCTCTTGCTCTTGTAAGGCCAGGAGCCCCTAGTAGCGTCCTCTTGCTCCTAGTAGAGCCCCTAGTAGCGTCCTCTTGCTCCTAGTAGCGATGCCAGGAGCCCCTAGTAGCGTCCTCTTGGTAGCGTCCCCTTGCTCCTAGTAGCGATGCCAGGAGCCCCTAGTAGCGTCCTCTTGCTCCTAGTAGCGATGCCAGGAGCCCCCAGTAGCGTCCTCTTGCTCCTAGTAGTAAGGACAGGAGCCCCTAGTAGCGTCCTCTTGCTCCTAAAAGCGATGCCAGGAGCCCCTAGTAGCGTCCTTGCTCCTAGTAGCGATGCCAGGAGCCCCTAGTAGCGTCCTCTTGCTCCTAGTAGCGATGCCAGGAGCCCCTAGTAGCATCCTCTTGGTAGCGTCCCCTTGCTCCTAGTAGCGATGCCAGGAGCCCCTAGTAGCGTCCTCTTGCTCCTAGTAGCGATGCCAGGAGCCCCTAGTAGCGTCCTCTTGGTAGCGTCCCCTTGCTCCTAGTAGCGATGCCAGGAGCCCCTAGTAGCGTCCCCTTGCTCCTAGTAGCGATGCCAGGAGCCCCTAGTAGCGTCCTTGCTCCTAGTAGTAAGCAACTAACGGTATTCAGAGATTTATGCACAATTCGTGCTTCTGATCGTTCCAAGGGAGTGGTGAAGACAAAGATTCAAGCTCTTGATGCATTTTGGGAAGTAGATCTTGCAAGAAGCAGTGAGGAGCTTTTGGTATTCAGAATCCACCAGCCCTGAGCTCTTCCGAATGTATGTGGAGAGCCTTAAAGCTTGGCCTATACAATGACTACCATTTTTACAAAAAAAACACATTCTTTGAACCAAGACCGCTTCTGCTTCCTTCCTTCCTTCTCTTCCTTCCATAAACTGACAAGAATGCACTTCTACCCCATGGCCTCCAACCCTCAAAAGCTTTCGGGATTCGGGCCGCACTCCGCACACATTCACGGGAATTCACTCCTTCCCAGCGGATTTCAGTCGAACTTTCCTGGCGCATGACTTCTTTCCAACGCCAAATTCCGCGCTGAAAAGGGGGGAGTGGGAGATTTGCACATTTGCTTGTGCTTCTGTGCTTCTTTGCATCTTCTTTTCAATTTGGCTTTCACAAAGCTTTTTGTACCGCATAGAGAATCCCCCTTCGTGAGCATCTATGATCTTGGTTCGTCTGTTTTCGCTTATCTAAGCTCCTCGGACATTTCTTCAGTTTCTCAAAGGTGAATGGCCAGGGATTTGCCACGAACCGGGTTCTATTTCCTCAAGCCAGAGTTGCTATGTCGCTGACTTAAGTGTGCCCAATGGACTTTCAAAGCATTTCTGGGAATGGTGACCAACGTGATCATTTCCACCAGGTTCGCACCTTCATGGGCAAAAACCAAAGAGTCCTGGAACATAAAGACATTCCAAAAACATTTCGGGTCCAAACAACAAAGCAGGACAAGGAGGCTGGAACACAAATTTCTCACCCAAAATGCACCTCTCGCCCTCTCGCACTTCTCAGACTTCCCCGGGTTTTATTCGCCTGTAGCCCACGTCGAAAACGCTTTTCCGATCTTCGCCTGAGGTCGCAGCTTGCTTGGTGGGAACTATTGGATTACAGAAGCTAAATGGCGAATTCATCGGGGCAGTCTGAGGAATCCTTCATTCGGTGTTCTGTATTTTTTCTGTTCTTGTGGAGGATGCGCAAGCGACTCCGTCATGCATGCAACCTGTCCCTTGCACTTTGAAGAAGAAAGTACTCTCTTGCTACTCTTTGCTACTCTTGCCGTGTTTGTTTGATGAGGACTGCGCCTTCGGGTGGGCTTCTCTCACGGAATTGCTTGACAAGTCCCTGGAATGAATGGAAACATGGGTCAGAAGATCTGATAAGGCGCCCAAACATTATATATTTTTTCGGCCGAGGCTTCCGCTCATTGACGGTTTCCATTTTCCTATCCCACCAAAGTTGTGGCTTGGCCAAGAAAGGTGAGAGAGATGCTTTCTTCACCCGAAAAGACTTCGGCATCTCGATAGAAACTCTTTAGTGTTGGCATGGGAACAGCTATGTTTCCTCCAAAAGTCTAGGAATCGAATCATCAGAGAGAGTGCTTCTTCAAACAAGCCCTCCCCCCTCAAGCGGGGGAGGAGCTTTCTTGAAGAAGCGTGAGCTATCCAGAAGCATCCTACTTAATAGCTACTTCAGCTAGCTCTTCCTCTATCCGCGGCCTAACCGTGCTAAAAAAGAGAATCCTCCCATCCCAAATCGTCTCACGCACCTGGATGGAGATAAGGATCTCTGGAAGCTCTCGGCTTCAGCTTCGGCCTCGCCAAGCTTCGAAACCGAAAAAAAACACCAGCGAAACATGCGTTTTGGGTGCCAGAATGAACCATCAGTAGGGTTGCCAAGTGGTGAGATCAAATTCAGCACCACCCATCTTTTGAGCACAAACACAACAAAGACTGGGAACCAAGAAGTTTTAACGCTGCAAGGCCTAGACTGTAGTCACTGTTGCCATACCAACTCTTCTCATCAATCTGTATCAATCTCTCATCTTTTAGGTTTTCAAACATAGAATAGAGAGAGAGAGAGAATCTAAAACATATCATAATGAATTTCTTATTGTTTTTGTCACCAATTAGTTCCGGTGTTTGATTTCGGCCGGAAAATCGCCTCTGCGGGCCGCTCCACTTGGGCGGTGGCTCGAAGCAAAGCTTCCTGGGCCTGTCACTTTTTGTGGACACAGAAATTGATTCCGAGAAGAAACATGTTGTGTTTATAGCCTCATTATTCAATCGCTACTAGGAGCAAAGGGCATCGCTACTAGGAGCAAGGACGCTACTAGGAGGCCATCACTAGTAGTTCTATGGCAATTTCTTCGTTTGTTCTTTAGACCTTTGGACCCTTTGCTCCTTGATGAATGGAGTGGTGAAGGAGCAGGACTCAATGGATCCTCTGGAAGGGTCTGGTACCGCCAACCGGATCCCGAATGCACGCTAGAACAATGAAACTGCCTCCAGCATTAGTCAAGTGTATGTAGGGCAAACAAACATCAATTCTGATGGCTCTTTGGATCCAAGCAACAGAATGAAGAACGACCGACAACGTGCATTCGTCACCACCCTCACTACTCCTTGCAAGAACGCTACAAGAACGGACACCGGCCAACACAAAATGGTCGGCCTCTTCGCCGGGGACTCCGGGCGAGGAACCACCTGCAAGCTGTGGATGTTTCATGCGCAACAGTTTCTACCAAGCGAACACATGAAAGGTTTAAAAAAGGAGAGAAAAATAAAAGGGCGATGGCCTCCAACCGACTAGCGATGGTCTCCAACTACTCTTTTGTTAGTAACAAGAACTCCTTCAGGGGCGTCCAAGATAGTTCTACTTCATACACACAGGATCTCTGCAAGCAGCTTGGGGGTCTTCTTTGGATCCTGAAAGTGCAAAGACCCCAAACCAAATTCTCGCTGATTGGCTTTTGAAGCCATAGCCTCAAACGACGCCCTAGCTGGAGTTGATGTAACCCTCGCTTTAGCCTGCCGTGACCAACACCTTTCACCATCTGCGCAAAAGTGTGCCTTCACCCGAACTTCACCCAGGGATGCCAAAGGTACATGAAGGCATCTTGCCCAGAAGCCCTGATGGGGCGCTGTTCGGGGTCTCAATTAGACCACACCGTGTGGCCTGCACCGACTGCGCCAGTGGCAGCCGCAAGGCTCTCCGCCAGGAACACAAAGGCAGCATCCTGTGAGATGCCAAGGCCAGGAGACCGTGGTAGCGTGCTTGCTCCTAGTAGTGATTCCCTTTGCTCCTAGTAGCGAGCGGTTTCACTTTCAAACACTTCCAACAAATTGCTTTCAGCACTTGAGGATTGGGACTATGCGTAACTATAATAGTATGCTTGTTGTGTGCTCTGTGATCTGGATACGGAGGGTCTATGTGGTCATTCTCAAGACCTTTCAAGGTCAAATGCACAAAATAATTACACGACAATCTGATCCTTAGGTTGACCTCCGATCGCTCTTAGGTTGGAGGCCATCGCACTTTGATTTTTGCATTTAAAAATTCCGTTTCAGCTGGCTCCTCGCACATCTTTCATACCCGTTCGCCTCACCGGTCGGGCAGCTTCTTTGGGCTTCTTTGGCGCTTCTTTCGGAGCTGCACGTTCGCCATAGGCCTTCCATATTTCAAAAAACACACAAAAAACGGAGTTTTCTTCATGGTTTCCATCGGTTTACACCGCAGAGATGCTGGGATTTGCCGTGTAACAGAAACTTGGTAACGGAAAAAAGGAGCGCCCTAAGGGCACCGCCCTAAGGGCACTGCCCTTGGCCATAGAAAGCTTTATTGTTACTACAGATGAAACGATTTTCAAGGATGCTAGAAAGGCAGAAACTTCTATTGCTTTCTTCACTTGCTACCCAAAGACCAAAAGGGGTTTAGGTCTTGACCTTGACGTCCCCGTGCTGCTACTCATTAAAATCCTTTATAACCTTCTAGCGATGG